GTTGTCCCTGGTGGGCTCGGTGTGCAGTAATCTTACTCAGTCTTTCCCATTTAACTAGAGCATTAGACATTTTCAGAATGACACTCACTCTCTTCCTCACTGCCCCTTCTCTTGCCATTCTTCTTATCCTAGCACTCCTGTAAGTTCTCTTGCCCACAATGTCCCAGTTAACCAAGCTAGCAGCCCTTTCCTTTTCTCAATCCATATGAATTCCCTCAGTTTCTTCATCTGTCAGGTAGTGATAATGATTATGTTGAATCTATTGAGTTGCTATGAGGTTTTGATTATTATGCATCATACTAGATAATAAGTAAAACATTGATTAGATAAGGTATTAATGTGCACACACACATGTGCATGTGCACACACACATGCGCACGCACGTGCGCGCGCGCGCGCACACACACACACACACACACACACACACACAGAGTTACAATGCCCGGAACATGGATTTATTTGCTGGTAGATTCTGCTATTCCCCATGTGCATTCCTTACATTCTCTAGCTGGTCTTCAAAGATAACAGCATTATCATACTTTGCTATCAAAACCTCATACTTTAAAAAAAATAGTATCACTAAATCAACTTTATTTTGTATTCCATTACTTTTCAGATTTACCAATCCAAACTACTCTAAAGCACTCTACCTCATTGTTACTTTCTTAAACTAATAATGTAGTACTTGCTTTGTAATGCTTGGTGACATCTGATTTCCTTATTTTAATCTCATTTTATTTTCTGTCTAGCATACATACATTAGACTTGTCTCCACAGCTAGGCTGCAATGCATTTCATAGATAGTAATCGACCTGTATTTCTTTGGAGTCAAATGTGTTATAATATAACTGTATTACCAGCAGTCTTTTCCTCAAAAAGATCTGTACCACCCATTGCCAGCTGCAGCAAGTGGATTGCTACAAAGAGGTCTGCTTTTATAAAAAGCAAATAACACTGGGACAACCTTTGCAATGTAAGCACCATCGCTTGAGGGATCAGGTGGCTCACCTACCAGTGAGCATATGGGCTCATGACTCAATGTGTGTGGCTCTTTCTGTCTAAACCCAGGCATCCGTCGCCAGACTGCTCATTGTGTGAAGAAGGGCCAAGGGATGGTGAAAGCTACATTCTGCAACCCGGAAACCCAGCCGAATGGGAGACAGAAGAAGTGTTATGAAAAAGATTGTCCACCCAGGTAACCAGGGATAATGTGGAACTGAAGTTCTGTGTACCTACCTTCTTCTGAGTCTAATTTAATGATATTCCAGCACACAGTGACAAAGGAAAACTATGGGCTTTGCTATCATTGGGAAGACTATTGCAGTATGATTGTTATTGGAGCCTGGGCCAAACTACAGAGACATTTTCTTCCCAGGGAGCAGTATGGTATACAAATGGTTGTGTGTGTTACTTATTTGGTATGACTAAAATCCAAGGCATTGCTGAGGAGAATGCTGTGTAGGTCCACAGGCACATTACCAGTACAGCTTTGACTCATGCTGGCATCTTCAGGTCATGGTTCCCACTCACAGTGGGGGTAGAGGAGAGAACAGGACAGGCTTTCTTCACCTGAGCACCGCTGAGGCTGGAGGACTGTTGTAGGGGGATAACCTATGAAAAGTAGGGTGCTTAGCAATATCCTTGGCCTACATATAGTTAAATGCTAGTAAGATTCTCTCTTATATTTATCTTTTTTCTCTCTAAAAATAAAAACGATTTCCTCCCTCCTAATTCAGGTTGTGACAACAAATGTCTCCATTCTTCCAGAGCTTCTCTAGGGGAAAAATCATGCACAGCTAAAATCCTTTAATAGAGACATACTCATTTATTAGTCGTGTTGGTTCAGATGTTGGATTCTAATAGGTAGCTTGGATGATGGATGTTATTGAGGGGGAGAAAAAAGGAAGAAGGAGGAGGGAAGGAAGAGGAGGAGGGGGAAGGACAGGAGAAAGGGAGGGAGAGAGAGAGGGAGAAGGAAGGAAGGTTTATTTCTGGAGACTATCTTAATTATCTAATGTCCTTAAGCAGAAATATATTTAGGTTGCAGATTCCATCCAGCATTTATTTCAGTCATATACAAACACCTGAGAAGATTTTAATTAAATAGGAAACCAATTGTAATCACAAGCCAAACTGGTGCCGAGGTGTATTCTAAAGAAGAAATAGGTTGTGATAAATGCTAGACAATTAGGTTTTTTTTAAAAAAAGAAGGAAAGAATGTTCATGACAAAGAAGTTACCAGCAGCAATGCCAATCCCAGATAGGGTCAGACAAGCAGAATGCAGGGCCAGGGCACTCTCATCTGAGTCATGTTGGTTCTCTACTCAATTCTGTGTCTTCCTTTGGGTAAGAGGTGGGCTGTGAAGCTACCTTGGCTCCACCCTGTGGAGGCGGAAGAGAGATATTGCATTCTGTTCACAGGGCTGTAGTTCTTTCTTTACAACTCTTTCCTAGAGAAGAATTAGGAAGATTAAGGGAAGATCAGACCAGTATTGGATTTATATGTAACTGTAGTGACTGTGTGATCTTCACAGAGAAAAGTGAGCGGGAAAGCCTATGTCTTAGAGCCAGCTGGTCACCTAGTGATCAGCTCTATATGTTCGTAGGTAGCAACCACGGCACCAAGGCCTGGGAGGCTCTCCTTGCTCTTCAACACCACGCCCTTTGTCGGACTGGATGGCTGCTTCCTTATAACTGCAGCTATTCTACACCCCCAACTGATTTCATGCCTGGACTCACATTCCCACTTTTACGGTTTTATGCAGTCTGCTTTGGCCTTCGTGTGAGCAGCAAGTGTGTGTGACATACCTGCTACTCCCGGGAGAGCTGCCCTAGAGATAATGACCAGATAATGGTCCCGCATGCTGCGCACCTGCTTTGCTTTCAGCTGTTTGTAGGAAGCAGCTCATGCATTTTTCTTATTATCCTCAACTACTGTAAAAATTAACCTTTCCAGGGGAAGAATTGTCGCTTAATTTAATGAGACCAGGAGGAGGAAATAGGCAGAGATGTGAACCCAGGGCTGAGCCTCTGTAAAGTCTATGGTCTCTGTTCCATGCAGCAGACCCTACAAAGAGAAGCATGAACTTCTCCATTTCTTGGCTGCATCTGAAGCACAAGGTGGGCGCCATAAGATCTCACAAAGGCGTCTGCCTGTGAGCCAGAGGGAAGGCTGGGGATATCACCTGTGTCCATAAAAGCAACACGGTCCAAGAAGATTATGGATTCACATGCTGCTCCTTGTTTTAGAACAGACGTTAATCTGTACTTAATATTTCTTGTTCACTTGTCACCAAAACTTTGACTTCACCATGTTTAGAATTCATTTCCCATTATGCAGCTGTCTTTGCCTAGTTCTACATACTAAGCATTCAAACTCACTAGTCGTGCCAATCTAAAACAATATATGGCTAAGGCTGCTAGAGAGAGAAGGGTGTCACAACAAAAGACCAGAGGCTGGAGGGCTGGAGACAAGCTGAAGCTAAAGCCAGACACAGAGAAGAAGGCTGGACAACAAATTTCCTAAGTGATACAGGCTGAGCTCTCTGGACTTAAAGCTAGCCTCTGAGTCTGGTAGTACATGTAGGCTGAGAGTTGTCAAGGAACCCATATCCTAACGTATGCAGCCTCTGTAGATGTCACTTTATTTGAAAAAGAGCCACAAAGAGAACTGCCCAGAGATGACTAACCACCTGATATTTTGGGGGGGCTCATGAACTTTGGAGATGTGATTGAGTTTAGGTCTTGAGATGAGGCGATGATCCTGGTTATACAGGAGAGCCCTAAAGGCTATCCCTGGTGTCCTCCTAAGTTAGTCAGAGAAAAATTAAACACACACACACACATACACACACACACACACACACACACACAGAGTTGTGTATAGAGGGAGCAGAGAGATTTGAAGACACTGACCTTGAAGACTGATGTAGTGGAGCCAGTAGCCAAAATATGGTGGTAGTCACCACAAGCCGAAGACGTGAAGAAAATACTCAACACTAGACAGGGCCTTTGGGAGTACAGCCTTGCTGACACCTGAATTCCAGCATAATAACACTGATTTTGGACACCTGGCTTCCACAACTGTAGGAGACTAAAGTTATATTGTTTTGACATACCAAATGTGTTAGACACATTTTTGTTGGTGGGATGAAACACCCAGAACTTGCAACTTAAAGGAGGATTTATTTGGCTCAGGCTTTCAGCAAGTTCAGTTCATCTTCAGAACAGAATGTGGAGGAAGGTCATGTGCTGCGTAGTAGGCAGGAAACAGAAAGAGAAAGGGTGAAGCAGAAACAAGGATAAATCCTTCCACATCACGCCTCCAGCACCCTGAGTCTTCTGCTCAGGCCCCACCTCCAAATATGAGACTTTGGGAGGGAATTCAAATCTAAGGCCTGATGCCAAATTTGGGGTAATTTTATGCAGTAGCCATTGTACCCCAAGACAGCCCACTTAGTGCAAGTGTTACGGAGGAAAAGAGCAGAAGGGATTCCTTCCCCAAGTCACAGAGGCTCGAATGCTATTTCCTCGGAGTATGTGGCAAACAAAGTAGGTTTTGAAATAGTACAAATAACTGCCACTCCCTGAAGACGTTTACGTTCAGGAAGGCGATATAAGATACGATACATATGCATTGACAAGCTGGGGCTGTTTCCAGGACTGGGGGAAGAGTCAGAGGCTTGGTTAGGGCCCTTCCTTCCTGGCCATTGTCCACAAACCCACTGCTTCATGGTTTGTTGGCATCTTTTCACTTGGTTATGAGTGCGGTATGATAGAACAAGGTAAATTACACCCTTTTCTCCTGCAACATTTCTTCTGTTGAGTACACGGACACAGCTTGTTAATTCAGAGCAAAAATTGTAAACAGAGCAATCATGTAGCTTTCTCTCACAAAATCTGTAATGCAGCCCTAGAGGGCAAGAATGCAGGTACAGAGGGCCATGCACAGGGGTGGGTCAGCCAGAGGGCCTCTGTAAGGCTTCAGGCAGCACAAATGTGACAGCCAGGCCTCGAGTTTTCTTGGTCAGCTGATGATTATTTCTACAGTGAATGCTTCTGCTTTCTACATTGCCATGTTCCATGTTCTGGGGGAAAAATTCGTCCTTTCCCCAGCTTCTGCTCTTGCTTTAGAAACATAATTTTCTCCAAATAATTTGAAGAATATACGTGGGGGAAAAGATCAAAGCAACTTGACAAGTCTTTCTGAAGCTTTGCCATTTGGTAGCATTTTGTTTCTATGTAAGCAGTTTTTCCTCTCTGTCGGCATCTGTCTCCCAAGGGCTGAGTTTCTTTGAGACTGTTTATTTTTCACGATTGAAGCCAAAGCCTGCAGTTTGTGATCATTTAAGATCAACAAAATTAGCAGGTCAGCCTAAATTGATTCAGTTCAAATCTCAACCTGCACCCTTCAAAAAGAGATACATTATTGATCCAGGGGTGCCTTCTGAACCCCCAAAGTGAAATGTTTTTCCTTATTTGTTTCCATACCCAAGGTAATGTGCACACACTCACACACACACACACACACACACACACACATTTATACATTCATGCGTATACACATTTATGTTTAAAATAAATAATTTCTGTACTTAGGGAATTACTTGGCCCCAACTGTTACTTTCATTTTGTTTTGTT